TGACTTTAAATCAACACTAAGAAAACCCCTTATGTTGATATTTTGGAATTACACTTGAAGTTCTTTGCTCCTGAAGCAAGAGTGTTAGAGGTAAACTTTGCAAGGTGTTATCATTTGTTATTATTTAACAGATTAATATTGTTGGCTACAGTGAAGAAGCAGAAGGCTGAATTAATATATTCAACAAAATAAAACTTATATGATTCCATTGCTCATATCCCTTTTCTTAAACAAGTCTTTTACACTGTAAGCTTTTGGGATGATGAGTATTCTGACAGGTCACCAAGACCTTTTAATGCAACAGTTCTCTTCCTTGTTTCAATGGGGGCAAAAGAAGACAGTGTGGTTGCCCTTAGCCTCTGCAGCTCACATTCCGGCAGATCAGTATGACCCCATTTCCATCCATAGCTTTCATTAACATGAAAATGAGCCTCCACAGGACACTTTTGTACTTAGGCTGTAGGTACACAGGTTTTCTGTCATGATTGCTGCACCATCTTCCCACCCTGACAACCTAGAAGCAACAAGAAAGCAAGAAGTGCTGGAGAATATTTGCCTCTATTTGATGCCTCAATTTGATGTTTGACTCTATTCACAACTGTGAATACATCAAGACTCTGGCACACAGCACAATGACAGGCATGGTCATGAGGTAGTGATCTCTGGCTGGGGCAACTGAGGCCCAAAATTTCTTAAAACTTAACCCACAAGATTTACCAAAAGAGCCAAAACTGGAAAGACAGAATACATAAGAACAGAAAATAAATGTGTGTTGTACATTCCAGTTTCTGTCCCTCAAATACGTGAGGTATTGTATGGCTTTTTTGGTTGAAGAATCTGAATGTGTATGAGTAGCATACCTAAATGAGGTCTAGGCATATGCTCTCTTTTGCATTCATATGCATTTTAGGACCCATTTTTTATTACACCTTTCGTCTCCTCTGTGCACAGATGTTTTCTCTTGCTCTGAGATTCTTTCCTGGCTGCAAGAAAAGATTTTATGACAACTACAGCACTTATTGAATTATCTTATTCTATGTTGTTTTTTCCTTTCAAACATTTTCCTTCAGCCAAGCATCTTCCATGTGGTCTGTGTTTCCTACATGAGATATAATAAACAATACGGCAACTTTTCCCTAAGAAGATCTTCACACAAGTTAGGCAAAGCCTTCTTCATATCTTCCATACAAGCATCACATCGCTATTAACAAAAGTTTTCCAACCACAAAGGATACATTCTTGTTTAGTAAAGCAATAAATTCTAAGTGTTTTTTTTCCCAGATGACTTACGGAAAAGAAACTGAATGCAATCAAAAATAAGAGAAATAAAGACTCATTTGTATAAATCAAGCTAATTCACTTGTAATAAATTCATCTCCAGGGGTAGGATTGAACTGAAAAGATACTTTCGTCATGGAAATTCTCTTTTGCAGGAAGCCAGCAAAGTCACTTGCAGCAACATCACTGCTGAGCTGAGTCTGTGTAACCAGGTTATTAATCACACTCAAGGACATGGACATGAAATGAATGAATTATATTGTTTTCTTAAAAACTGTTACTGTGAGGAAAGGACAATTACCAAGTTATTTTAAAAATGGATTCTGTATTAAACCTGGGACTGTGAACTCACAACGGATATTTCCAGATCAGTCTTTGCTGGCTAACAGTTTACAGCAAATGGATGATGTCATCATTGCATACATGAGCTCAGTTTAAACCTAATAAAAGCAGCCCTGTGTGGGTAAGGGCAGAGGTGCAGTACCTAACAGGGAATGTTGGATGGATGGGTATGATTAAGAATGTGTCACAGGACTTCCAGATACATAGTGGTCTTCATGCTATTTACCCTCTTCCGAATTTGCACTCATCCTAGCTCCCACTGCAGTGTGTATTAGAGTTTTCATTGAAATATTTGCATTTAAAAATGCTCGTATTTCTCTTGCACTTTTTTTCTGCTGAGAAACTCTACTACCTCTCCCTTTTGGAAACAAGACTTGAATGCTGGATTAGGGAATAACACTGCTATGAGTTGGTTTGTTTTTTGTTTCTTTTTATACCTCCAAAAGCTACTTAGAGCCATGTCTAAGATGAGCTGGATTATGAGGCACTGAGGCTGCCTTGTAGCTGACATATAGGTACTCGTTCTCAGAATCCACGGTCAAAAACCATCCTGCACAGGAACTATCATAAACAACTGTTTTCTAAGAGCTTGGTGATTCTCTGCTTGAAATGATTGTGAGTACAAAGAAAAAGACTGTTACTTATGTTGTGCTGAATCTACTGAAGCAATTAAAATAGGCGAATTCCCATTTCCTTGAAATAGTAGCAGTGATGAAGGGCTGAACAGATGGCATAGCTGTGGGGAGAGGGCTCGTGTGCCCATTCAAGGGCAAGTTCCCCAGATATTAGCATCGGGGTTCAAATCGTATAGCTGGGAATAAGAAAGTGTTGGTAGCATCTTAATAGCAGGGCTTATGTGAGCCACTGGTGTTCCCGTAATTACCTGATTGCTTTGTGCCTTTTGGCATTGAGTCCTCTCCTTTCCTTACCAATGAAAGATAAAATGAATTGAACACATGCCACATTAGCCCCGAAATCCCACTGCTTCATGGTTTGTGACAACATGTTACATGAACCCCGCCATGGGGCAAAGCAAACAGAGCTTTACTGACAGAAGCTATCCCATCAGCAAACAGAGTCCCAGTGGACCATAAACAAGGTCAGATAGAACAAACTTACTGTCTCCCACATGGCTCAGAGGCTGCCAAGAGAAGTCTGGCACTCAGATCTGCTGGGGCATAGCTAGGCTGCCCTTCAGGGACCCCTCCCAGTGGGTCCCTCTTCCCTTGCAGGGATTCTCAGCTGAGATATGTTCTCTTTAAGTAAGTCGTTTTCCTCAGACCTTCCTGTAATTATGTCAGACCAGAGCTAATGGATCCACAGCAGATCATTGATCTTGGGTGGTTATGATAGGGGGTCACATACTCCTCTGTAAGCTATATTGTCCCCTTCTGCTGACTGCTGCTGCAGCATGTCAAGTGGACAACACTTCACAGTGGAATAAAGAAGCTCTAGTTCTCTTTCACAGTTTACTTTGGATCCAGCTGCCTGATAGACTGAGAAGGCACATGTGGGATTAACCTGTCCTAAATACATCTGGTTTTGTTGTAGTGGAAAACAGAAGGGTTTTAATAAAATTACCTACAGATGAATCAAAGACACCCTAAAATACATGTGTTTACCACAGATGAAATGGAACACAGTACAGAAATGAAATTTTTAGCTTATGTCTATCAGAATCCTTCCTTTCCTTACCATGAAGAGGAACATTCCTTATCACACACTAAGAAAGACAAAAGCAACACAAACAAATGATGAAAGGCAGAACAACACAATTTTCATGGAATTAGGACAAAATGCTCCCTGTCTCCCCAAAAACATTGCAGAATTTTGCAGTTCTTAAAGAACATAATCAGGACTATGCTGAAAGCAGCATCAGCCAGGTATATTTAGCCTGCTGCTCTGTGGATCTCCATACAGTGAACTATCATCATTTTTGTGCTTTTGATATATGTAAGACACATGACTAGTGTTTTTTCTCATGCTCTCTCCACACCCTCCCCTTCCAGACAGGCTTGGGATGATCCTTCTTCCAACTCCAGGTCCCGGCCACAGCTCAGGCCAATGTGCTGGTCTGGAGCATGAAGTTTCTCACTGGATGATGACTGTGGTGATGCCCTGTATCCTGGCAGATATCTCCCAAGCCCATCCAGCATTCAAGGTGCCATGTTTGATACTTTTGCCAGGAGGAGTCGCTCCTCATACTCCATTTGTGAAAACTCACTGCAGCTCTCCTTCTCCAGTTCCTTGCCTCCACTCTCAAAAGCAAAGGCCTGGGAGGTAGATGGAACAGGAAGTTGCTCCATGTGTTATTTCCCAAAGCAACTGTGAGGTTTTTCCTAACCTCTTTCCCTTTAGCAATAGGCTGAGAACCTGTTCTTCTGCCACCCCACTCTGATAAAAATCTCACCATCCTACCTTTTAATCAGTACTGGTGCACCAATTTATCAGGGTGGGATCTCACTGGAACTGCTCCCGGCTCTTGTTGAGTTTGTACAGTCACCACAGAGTAAGCTGCCTCACACCACAGCAAGCTATATTTGATCTCTACTCTGTAAAAGCCGCTGCTTTGCGCAGAGGCGTGTTATCTCCCAGTCCACTGAGTGACAGTATCTTGCCCCAGCAGAAGCAATAGCTCAGGGCTTCCACTGAGTTCTTGCTGCTTGGAGCAGTCAGGACAAAGCAGAAGTCTCCAAGTCCCCCCTAAATCAAAAGCATAGACTGCCCATACACCATATGGGTGCTACAAGCATTGATGGTTCTCAATATAGCACCTCTGTGCAGAGTGGATCATATTTGGGAGAACAGGTCAGAGGACCAGAGAGATGTCAGGAGCAGGGAGCTTGTTTGTTGATTTGGAGCTTGCATCGCCTTCAAAGTGCTCACAGCACATTGCCAGGACCACTGTAGAAACAAGCAATGTACATTAAAGACCATCACCTTCCCAGCAATAGGGATTAAACTCCACTTGCAAAAAATACGTCCAGGGTCAAAGCAGTGCAGTGGGAGAGCCAGAGTCAAAGCAGGGGTCGGATTGTCCTTGGGGCAATAGTTGGATGATAAGGGTTGCCATAGACTTCAGCAATGCTGAGTCCCAGGTCCCAGCACTCCACTGCAGTCAGAGTGAGTGACTTTCAGACCCACAAGAGCAAGAGAGTGGTTATGTATTTCTTGAAAACAGGTTTTACCCAAGTAGGCACATAGGGAGAGAATGTAAAGAATTGCCACCTCCATATCTGAAAAGTTGGACTCATTTAACAGCCTTTAAAATATCTTTTACAGACACCCTGCTATGTTAATAAGAGTGACTGGAAGTCTTCTTTGATTTTGAAAGATTTATAACAGGATAGGAAGAGAATGGAGTCACCAAGAGTCAGTCCTTAGGTGATTTAAATGACTGCTTATTTTATTCATCAGCCTTAGCAATAATTTACAGATGACATTGTAGCGGGACTATTCTTTGAGAGTTTGTGCTTAATGTCACTGTGTCTCAAAGTTTTTTGCTGACTACAAAAAGACACTTACAGTGAGTGCTACAGCAGAATAAGTCTGTTGTCTCAGGGATTTTCTCTTTTTTGTCAGTGTTTTTTTAAGATGTCCTAGGCAAAGAGTTGGAACATGTGAAAGAACAGGTTGATGGAGGGAAAAAGCAAAGAGCTATGTAAGGAAGAAACTCCATAGGGGCTGGCTCAGGTGAACAGTGGTCATCTGCAAGTCCCAGAGAAGACATAACAGAATTGCAAGGGACTTGTTACCTGTTGGGATAAAGCTTTTGGTGAGTAACACAGAAATGGAATCAGTTTAGACATACCACTTAGCATAGACAATTCGTTTGTGAAAATAGCAGTAGATTTTACAAAAAACTGTCTTCCAAGGAAATTTGGGAAAATGTGTTAATGACTTGAATTATTCAACTGGAATAAATGTTACATTTTAAAGCTGTCATTTGCTTGGGTGCTTTTTTACAATTTTTTGCTTATTAGTTTGATAAGGAAATTTCTCATTTACTTCTGAATATCCCTCAATTGGAGAGTAGTTAGTAGCACTAACTGGTTCACGTGTGAGCACTGTAGCCATTATAACTGATGCTGAAAACCAGCACGCACCATAACTCTTCAGTTACTTCCCAGTAGGATTGACAATCTTCCCCATGAAAAGTGTCGTGCCGGCTGCTTTGTCAGAAATCAATATAATGAAGGGCCTGTTAAATTTGATGGTAAAAGAAGGACGGAGAAGCCTGTTAAAGATTATGGCTGTGGCTCCTGCAGCCTCAGCTCCAGCCTCATCAACTTCCAGCAGGGCCTTGTGAAGTGCCTGCAGGGAAAAGGACCAAACACTGTGTTTATACATGGGAAAGCCAACAGAGAGAGAATAGACATGCTCTTCTTATGGAACATTTAGGAGAAGAAAGGAGTGATAAAACTCAATGGACCAAACTTTCTGGTGTGGTAAATCTCTAACAGCCTGCAACAGGAATGTTTTCCATGTCTGGACTGAATGGGGAAGGCCCAAAATAAAAATGGACATGCTGTAGACGCAACCTCACTGGTGCTGAGTAGAGGGGGATAACAACAGCCCATGCACTAGCTGCTTTATTTCCTTAGGTTGTTTGAACTTCCACTGGCAAAACCTTCTCTGTTATTTCAAGGTTAGTGGAAGACTATTTAAATACTGATACAGGGGCACTATTTGGCATCTTTGCCACATTAAATCATAGCTTAAACTGACATGGTGAAATTCTGCTAATGCAAACCGGAATTTTCCTGGAAACATTGAGAATATTAGAAAATTAGATACTAATCAGCACAAATATCATAATATACTCCTCGTTTATAACTTGACACAATTGCACATAAACAATCATATTCCAGTGCCAAGAAATAATATAAAATCTTGTCCAAATTTTCTGTATAGTTAATATACAGCCTTTTATTAGCAATATTAAAAAAATACAAAGGTGGGACAGCAGACTGTCTCTGTAGAAAAGCACAATTGCTAAGCAAACCCTCACATGGTATTGTGAATTTTAAATATAACTTCTGTATGACAAGGAGGGAAAGCAATCCTTTAAAAACCCTGGATATAATTGATCAGAGCAACAAGCCACCGCCCCATCACCAGCTCTGCGTGCTCACTTACTTGTGAAACCTGAAGATTATGGCTGCCACTAATTCCAGACAGATCAGCATTACTAGAGAATACTTCAGTAATGCCCATTTCATTGAACAGGTCTTTAACATCGTAAGACCCACTAATAGAAATCTTTGGTAACTGCAGATCTAATCTCCTGTTGAACAAAGAAAACAAAACAACAATGAAGCATTGCAGACTTGTTTCAGCCAGCAAACTGAATAGTATGTAATTCAGTGGCACTTGAAAGCATTCTTTTGATTGCTAATTTGTTTGATGGTAGCGTTTGTATTACTTGAGCAATTCTGGCATCCAGAATGACACGTCATCTTCTCGTAAGTACATTCTCCTTTTGATTTTGGAAATAGAAACTAATTTCTTCATTGCCACTCATCCCAGTGCCCCATACGCAAGTAGCAGAGTTTTGTGGTTAGAGGCTACAGAGAGTAAGCAGAACAATTGTTGAAAAGCTAAAAGAAAGGAAAAGAAGGATAAAATCTAAGACACAGCCAAGCAAATGAATTATGTTAACACCATAAAAGAAGATGTATGGTAGCCAAAAGATAGCCAGGCAAGTCTTAAGGCAGTTGTCACAATGCTGAATCCCCTTCTGACAGGTCAGAGAGCCTGCAGTTGCTCATTGATTATAAGCAAGCAGCCTGTGCTCTGGCTCATCTTAGGAATCACTTAAAATACCACTTTATGAAATTAGAACATTATATTCAGGAGGAGGCAATCTGAAATTAATGCTTTCTCTTAAAGATAATAATGTGTCCTCAAACCTAGCAATCCATCTACCTAGAGTTACCTGGTCTCAAGTTTGTTATCCCATTTACAAAGAGTTTCCTTGGAGAGAGCATCTTCCACTTGCTTCATCTTTCCATCATCAGGCAGAATAAGCAATGCTCGTGTAGTGCCCTTGTAAGGCATCTCTACCACCTCGCAAGAGAGATCATGGTCGTAGTAACTGTCATAGTCACCATTACGGTGCATCATGTTGACTTTAACAGATGTGTGTGTGTTCACAAAAAAATCATCTTCATGTGTACGCAAAGGATCAAAAGAATTTTGCCAGGCAGCTAATGGGCGAAAAAAGAAGACGTTGTACTCAAACATATAAAGATCATTAAAAATGACTAATATAAATCAGATGAATGGAAATGTTAGGACGCTGAAGGGCTTTTATGGGAGAAGAGGATCACTAAATCACTAAATCACTTCAACCTCCTGTATAACACACAATAAGACATTTTAGCTGTGCAGTAAGTTCAGCAGAGTGTGAGCAAGTCCTGTCTTGCTGAAAAACAGCCAAAGGTTGATAAGGACTGACTGAGAGAGTCCTGCTTCTATTGTAGTCATATGTTCCCAACGCTTGTGCATTTTATGTCATTTAAATTCAACCACTTAAACGTTCAGCCACATGATCTTGTTATGCCTTTCCTCTTATGCTGTACCTGACACAAGCTGACAGCAATCAGCCTGGTGAGGAATTCATCAATAGAATAAAGGACCCTAATGTTCAAGCAGGGCTTTAGAAGCACAAGCCCTCAACATGTTATGTCCCAAGTTTTCATGCAGTGTACCTAGTAGACCTACCATAGTACTGGGAACCCTGCAAGTGCAAGGATATCAGTTGACTAAGTTTGACTGGCACATACAGTCAGCATAGAAGTCGTGGAAACATCTTTATTCATTATGCCCTGAGACCAATGAGACTGTGCACAGTGGTTCCCTGTCTATAAGGCAGTTCACTAGAATGGCACTTCTCTGTCCACAACTTTCTGGACAACTGGGCCAAAATCAAGCAATCAATATTTCTCAATAATCAGCTACCCTGCCTTTGGCCAGATCTAATCTTTACTTTGAAGGTCCTGCACAGTTTAGGTCTTTCTAAATCAGCAACATTTCCCTGCAATTTTTATTTTCCATCAAAATCATCTACTGAAGTACTATTCTAAATATCTTACCTTTAAAATACATGTAGTTAACAAGAACCAATACAGTACTTGGATCAAGATGACCAATTAACTCAGGAATTTTCCCCTTGGTTTTCTCCTCTACATATTTATTGATATGCTTCATAGCTTCTTCTGGTTTATGGAAATCGCTAGAAAAAAATTCTGCACTATAAAATTGCATGGTGTCTTGCAAAAATGCCTCCTGTAGTTCATACCCAATAGCTGTAAAAAGGGCATTCCCTGTATTCAATGTGGTGTTAACATCAGTACAATTCAATACTGCTAAAACTTTATGAAAACTTTCATGTATATTATCCATGTGAGTCTCAGTCAGACAGTCAAAGCCCAGTCCTTCAAAAATCTGAGACCGGGTGGTTGACTTAGCACCGAGAGCCAGCATGGCAAAGGCAGTGGAGATGCTCATGGGAGAAAAGAAAACATTTTTATCAGCTTCTTTTGATATAGCCTGCTTGTAAAATCTAAATACAAAATCTGGATAGTTAGAGCCTTGCTTGTCACAGTTATGTATTAATAAATTTTGTGTTCCATCGCGCAGATTAGTATTGTTGACTTCATGGCAAATGTCTTCATGGTAGCAATGGGTTACGGCACAAAGAACAGCAAGGAGTAAACACAGGTACAGGAGATACTTCATCTTCTTTTCAGATTATTCTGTCACAAAACAAACAGTCATTAGATGAGCAGATAGTAATGATGAGCTTGGTAGTAAGAAATAATGAATAGTTTGTTAGCATAAATATTATATAGTGCAACTGTAAAGAACTAATGTACATAGGATATTTGAAGTGCCCATGGACACAAAGTCAATGTCAATAATAAATTTAACCAAATTATAAATTAAAATTTCAGGCATAATAAAACCATAATATTCCATTGTAATTGCCCTGAAAAGGCAATTCTTGTCTTCGTTGTTGATGAAAATATAGAGCCAAAGTCCATAATAATCTCTTTTAACAATGAAACTCTCTTTCCTGGATCATTGTCTCCTACAGGGTGCATCTAAACAAAAAAGTTACCATGAGGTAAGATGGGATATGGATTTCAAAGACATCAAATACTCCACAGTACCTGCCCAAACGTGGTATGATAAATGTGAGGAAATGTGAGGCAGGTGACTTTTCATGGGAAGTGGGATAAATTCCCTCACTTTCATCAGGGCAGCAGCACATGGACAGACAGCTATCATGGACTACCCAGCGCTTGTTAAATTCACACCCGTTTACTTCAAGATTTTGTACTCACATGGTCAGACACTGGCCACAGCTGATAAGTGATGGATGAAAGTCATCTACATAAACTTCAAGGCAAAGTTCAAGGCAAAAGCCTGGACCATCCTGTGCCATGGCACCAGGACACTTGGAAGTGGCCATAGAGACATGTGGGAAGCAGCAGGTTTGTACCAGACAATGAGATGCATGTTTGGAACAGACACACTCTTTTCAGGGGACTGCAACAACTGTTTCAGGGGGCTGTAACAACTTGTTAAATTGTGGTTTGTCCCTCACCATGAATTGACTTGTATGGGGTGTGTGGCTCCCTCTAGAGACACAGGAAGGACCTAGATCCAAGAGGAAAAAAAACAGATTCCATTTGGAATTCAAAGGACACTCAGGTCAACCCACTTGGAGATGACAGGTTTCTTCATTATGCTTGTTCTCCTAATGCTAACATGATATACTTCACATGAGCCTCCTAACCTCCATAGGAGCTGGAAAAAGTCTCTAGTTTACTAAATTCCGTTCCCTGCTATTCTGGGGAGGCATGTTATATAAACCGTCTTTAGAAACCTAACAAGCTATCTATAAAAATATTTTTGCTCTTGCAGCTTCTGTAATGAACATTTTTAGAAATTTTATGCTTTCATAGCTCCTCTTCTTCTGGTTTCTACCCAACACAGCCTGTTTGTACCTTTCTCTTCCAGGAATGCATTTTCCCATGTCCTGCCAAGGTGAAATTCTCTTGGTCCCATATTCATTCTTAGCTGTGAAAGGTGACTGTATCCACTATCTAAACAAGATTTAGATAGAGTTTCTGAGGGCAGCCCAAGTTCCAGGATTCTTGGTGATTAACCAGTTGCTTTATTTTTTTATTGGTATAGTGATCTTTCTTGTTTTATAGCAAACATATACACTAGCTGTGTGTTCTCTTATTTGTTAGGACCTGAGTATGCTGAGTATATGAGAGCAGACAGTGACAACTACAGCATCTGCAGTAAGAAATGGTAATGCTAAATTTTAATTTCCTTAAATCAAAAGATGGAGTATAGCCCTAGATGGGAATATGATTCAACTATTTGCATCTCTTTTAATCAGAACTCTTTCTCTTCCTCCCAGCAGAAAAACCCACAAAAGCAACCCTTATGTACTGCAGACAAATGAAGCAATCATGTAGTACCGAGAGTATTTCAAAAGTGCTTGCTGTTTAACATTTCATAGGCTGTTTTCCTCTAGTTATCTGAAATATTGCACACTTCAGTGAAAGAGGGAATAATTTTTGCCTGTCCATGACCACTTCCTGTGTCCAAATAGAGCTTAGCCTACATTTCAAAGAATTTCTGAAGCAAAGAGTATGGTTTTTCTGCAGCAAGTTTATACTGGTCATGGCTCTGATTTTAACTTTAGTTAAAAGATAAGTTAAAATTTCTCTTGGTATCACAGCTCTCCACAGAAATATTAAGTAATTTTCTTCCAGCAGTTGGGAAACACTGAACATTGTCATCAAGTTTTTGTCACATACTTTTCCCTTTAAAGATGTTAATCACATTCATTTAACATTTTGAAATAAGAAAATTTCAGTCACAGATACTTTTTTGTTATGATATCAAAGCTGAAGAAACTGGAAAGGTTTTATTAAATCTGGGGTGCATTTTTTATACGCAAATTGGAAATTCAGAAAATAATTCTCTGCCAAACCACAGATTAGTTTGTCTATGGGAATAAAATGTCTATAGTAATTAAATTTAAATTGTGGCCTTCCACCCACCCCCTACACTCACCCGAGTCCTAATTAGAGAGTATGGCCTTAGCAATTCAGTGGCTGTTTTATACATTAAATCACCAGGAGTTTGTAAATTGGACCTGGTTGTTCAGTCACTAGTGGGATTATGATAATTTTGAGTCACTGTGAAGGCTGTTTCTAACCTAAAGGGTAATTTCATCAGTATTCGGCTTTAACAACTACTTAATAAGTCCCCATGACTTCAAAGGTTATTTTATTCTCATTTCAGGCTAAGCGTATTTCCCCAGAACAGCAGGTCTCATTGGTACCCTGCATGTTTGCTTGATTAATATTTCATGGCAACATCCGCACACAACCAAGTCACAGGCAACCACATGAAATTAACATGGAACTTCCACCAACCACAGAAAGCATCATTTGCAAGTCTCTATGAAAAATGCATGTGCAGTACTTACAAAATCAGAAGCCCTGCTGCATTCAGCTGACCATGCTTTTGTCCACACTGCTACTTATACTGCTACATCATCTTCTGCTTAGTTTCCACGTTAAATATTAAACAGACATGATAAAAATTAGAGCCAACAACAAAAAAAATGATGAGGAAACAGAGCAAACATTGATGAAATAGGGTTTCCAAGGATCATCTCCCCAGTTCAGCCAATGGAGCTGACGATATTCAACCATCTGAATCACAGTTGTGACTTTCTATCTGTTGCCTCTGACCATGTAGAGGAGCTTAGGGGCAAAGGATGTGTACTTAGGGCCCTACTGGAAACCAGGAGGTTATGCCTGGAACCACTGGAAGCAGATGCTAACTCTTGGTGCCAGAAGTCAGACTTTCTGTGCTGTGCTGAAGCACACATGGACCTCACAGCCACACACCACAGCACCTCAGTGCTGCCGCAAGTCTGACCAGACCAAATCTGCCTCCTGATCCTTAGCCTGAATATGAACTCCGAACTAATTGCCTGTACCTTCTCAATCCAACTGTAATTGCACGCCATTGAGAGGGCATGTGATAGACACGTTTCCCTGATGGGTTTCCTACTCTGACTGATGTGGACCCTTCATACATCTCAGTTCTGTGTGCCTCTGAGTCAGTGCCCCGGGCACCTGGTGGGAATACATGAAGCAAGCTGTTTTCTCTACTCCCACACAAGCACATAGTACATGTGCACACTCACTTCTTCTCCTTGTCCCTCTCACACAAATTTAAATTGTTGGAATGAAATAAAGTACTGCTTGTTTCTATTAAGCTTTTCCAACAGGAATAAAATGCTAGTGGGTCAAGCTGACCGAATTTTTCCCATTAACAAAGACCATGATTGAGCGGTGACATGAAATACATTTCCCCATCTGTGACGACTCTTTTTCCTTTGTACTTGTTTACTCATGTGTGTAATTTTGTCATTACAAACATAGATAAACATGGAGACAGAACATAGATAAACCTTTCCTTGACACTCCCCTTCTTTGTTTTCCTCTTTGTTTCTTTTTCCCCCTTTCCTTTTTACTTGGTCCCTCCAATTCTGGCTGTGAACTGTAACAAACACAGAGTGTATTTCACTCATCAAAACCTAGGAGAATGGCAGATCATGGGGGTCAAGGACAAACTGTGTTACAAAATAGTTATAAGCCTTTTGGTTGTTTTTTTTTTTTCATTTGTGGGGCCTTGTAATTACTGTTTTGTTTTTAATAATATTAAGCTACACTTTAACAAGGCATTTTGCTAGCATTTCATTAGAGCAGCAGCAATAAGGTGCTACACCAGCTTTAAATTAAAATGATGAACACCGCGTGCCGGCTGTACCATGTACTGCCACGAGCCATTTACAGTCCCACCTCTCTACTGACCACAATTTCAACTCTAAAACTATGTCATGAAACCACATTAACCAGGTTTATACTGATCAATCATCTGCTGAACTAGATCTTGCTTCTCTACTACTTATTTTTGTAGAAATAAAAGTCCAGAATACTGCTTTGTACTTCATGTAGGTCATTATCTATACCACACCTCAACTCACATTTTTACTTCTTTAGACAAAATAGACACATATAATATTTCATGCATTAACCAGCATCTTGCAAGCAGCTTCCTGCCCGTTTGTTTTGTTTTGAAAAAATCATTCTGAAGCAGGTTTAAGGAGATCTTTCTTAACCAATGGCCGGCATATTCGATGACAACAGAACTGTTCAACTTGTCCAATGTTTTTGTTATGCTTCTACACCTCAGGTCAGGAAACTATAGTTTCCCTGTCAATTTAGCAACAATAATAGCTGTTCTGGGATTAAGGGTCACAGACACACAGCTTACTTCAAATATCAAAAAAATCTGTATCCCTTTAGATCTATTGTCTTTGGAACACAAAGATTTCTAAGTGTAAAGTGCATAGAAGACAAGTATATTGACATAGCAGCAATATGAAGGAAACTTAGTGTGAAATTAGGGAGGAAATGGACGCTGCCTTCCCCTCCCTTCCCCCTGATAGTTTTGGGTTATTTAATAGTCTTTGGGAAGGATCAGGCAGTCAGAGTGCTGAGAAAATTGTTAAGGTTGAAGATGTACGCATGTCTGGTGAATTACGGTTCTTCCAGTCTGGATGAGCTATATAAGGAAGAAAAAAGACCTGATCTGCCCACAGTGGTCATGTCATGTCATTCCATAATTCTTGGAGCATCCCCTCCACCGTTCTGCCACGAAGGCAAAATTCATTAGTTTAGAAAGGGAATGTGAAATGGGGATGAAATACAACCTGTATATAGTGATGAGAACATTCCTGAGGAGGGGAGAGTTCTGCTTACAGAACTGTATTTCCTTTGAATTAGCATAACTAATAATATGTGTACACTAACTAGAGAGCAGGGACTAGAATTGAAAAAAATATATACTGTACCAATGGCAATGACCATGAGTTAACACTCATCACCGTTTTTCGGTTGGAAAGCCGACGCCCGTTACAAATTACCTACTAAAATGTAGCAGATGCGTTATATGTATGGTACACCAATAACAACTAGACCTTCTGTGGCTTTGGAAGTGTGCAGGATGACAGAGATGACACAGGACCTACAGCAGACTTGATCCCTCCTGAAAAAGGAGAAGGACAGTAGGCAGGTTGCTCTAACGTTAGAAATGTTTATCGGACCCCAGAAACTTTCAAAAGAAGGCTTGTTTTCCATTATTTCTGCATGTAACAGCTTCACCATGGAGTTTCTTTTCCGACTTGAGTGTTTCTGTAATACTAATATTAATATCAAAATAGCTTCCTGAGTTTTGCATATCTGAATGATTTCCAACAGATGTCTTTTGAAAGAACAGTATGCATTCCGTTTCATTTTCCTTCTATCCCCCCCAAATAATATTTTCCATTGCCCAAATACTGTTCAAGATACTGGAATGACTTCAGGATGAGATGGACTGCGTGATGAGAG